ATGTGGAAAATCAAAGGCAAGATGTAATTGTTCACCACAACCGGTGGTAGACTTCCAAACTGGATCGTCATGGGTGCACCTTGGTTGTCATCATCGTCATCCTTGTTTTTCCGATCGAATTTCGACTTCGGCTCCTCCAATTCCAACATCTCCTCTTCGATGAGGGAGTCATCCAACTCAGCATCGTACTCGGCCTCCCCCGGGACTCCCTGCTCGTTCTCGTCCAGGTTGTCCTCGACAACCTTTCCAGCACCGGCCACAGTCACTCTCAGACCCGTGGCAGAGTTGTCTACGTTCACATTTGCTTGCAAGTTTGCAATCCTCCTTCCTTGAGCATTCTTGCGGAGGTACCTTCGATACTGCGTCCTTGTCATCGCGTCAACCGCGATGGGCTGCTGACGACGGACGTCGTAGGTGTGCCAACCACCCCGTGGCACATTTGGCATCCTGAAGGTTCTCCTAACAGGTGGGGGAGCTCTCACCGGTTGGGCAAGTCCAAAAGGGAGACTTTTGAAAGGTGGGGCGCTTTGAGCAACCCACTGCCTGCGTTGCCCTCTTCCCCACGCTGGTGCACGTACTCCTTCAACGCTGCGTTCATATGAGGGGTACCTCGGTCTGAACTGTCGTGGTCCCAATCTCTGGTGGACCGACTGGCTCGGTCCCGCTCCCCCAATGGTTAGCTTTCCGCGACACTGGGCACACAACTTCTCTTCCTCAACTGGGTCCAAGCGTGGCCCCTCCTGCACTTGGGAGGATGAAGCTCCCTGGGCCACATCAGAACTACCACTCGGCGGCGGCGATGTGTCAACCACCAACTTGAAGCGTGGCAGGTTGATCTTAGAGAAATCGGGATTGACCATGTTGACACCGACAACGTTTGGGAACGGGTCTGTGTCAACAATCATGGCCTCCTTCCTCGGCTCTGGGAACTTGAACCGATCTTTCTCAATTGCATCCTGCACAACGTTGCGAAACACAACACACATGTTAGTTGAATGAGATGCACTGTTGTGCCATTTACAGTATCGTTTCCCTTTTAATTTTTCAGCTGGCGGGATAGTATGCCCCCCAGTCAACTTAATTTGACCATCTTTGTAAAGCTGGTCGAAAATCAGTTCTGATTTTGAGATATCAAAGGAATATTTTCTAGTTTGAATCGGGGCACGATTGGGCTTTCCACCTTGTGGTTCCCCATCGGCCTTGGCTAGAGAAGCACACACATATGGCTTCCCCTGCACAATCTCGGCCAAATCAACTTCAACTTCGTCAACATCGTTGCCGACGTTATTCACACCATAGTTTTCAAAATTAGGGAAACATTGTCCGCGAGAGCCACTTCTCTTATGTTCTTCTTCACGGAGAAGAGATTCATATCTAACAGCGCAGGACATCAATTGAAACAAATCAGAAAACTCCCTATCTTGAAACTTTTTACGAAGTTCAAAATTCAATCCACCCTGGGCCAGTTTAACAAACTCGCGTTCTGTCAAGTTCACAAAACAGCGATTTCTTGCATTTTTAAAGTTCGTTAAAAAGTGTTCCACTGTTTCTCCTGGCTGTTGGCGCATTCGTGCCAAGTCTGCCATTGTCACCTCTGGCTCAGAACGGTAAAACTGGGCATGGAACATTTGTTCCACTTGCTGCCAAGTTTGAACCGAGTTCGATGGCAAGTTGACGTACCATGCGAATGCAGAGCCGGTCAACGAGTTGCCAAACAAACGCAACTTCAAGAAATCACTCACATCACCACACTGAACCGTGAATCGTCCAACATGCTCGACGGTGGACTGATCCCCAGTCCCGCTGAAGGTGATGAAATCAGGCACGCGAAAACCACGTGGAAAGGGGTAGTATCTATCAACCCAATCCGGATATGGTTTTCGATACACCGGCGGCATCGCTGGTCTAATCCCTAAACCAAACTGATCCGCCAGCATCTGTGCTACTTGATCTCGAATCGCATTAACGTCTTGCCCCCCGAGTTGCCCCCCTTGTGGTATGAATCCACCAGGATCCATGCCAAGCCCGCTTGGAGGCGGAGGCACGTTTTGTGGGTAGCCGCGTGGCGGAACATGATCATTGTTGATCGTTCCTCCACCACCAGCACCGCTCATCGGAGCCGTGTAAGGTCTGGCCTCCGGAATATTTTGTGGACCCCCACCGTGAAACGGCGGTGGTTCAACCCGAGTGTGAGCGGCAGTGCTAGTCTCGCCAAGATTAACTCGCGGAGTTGGTGGGTTCATCACCGGTGTCGGCGAAGCTCCTTGTCTTGGCGGACTAATTCGAGCACTGTTGTTTGGAAAACCAGTTTCGCTGTTCAAATTGTTTTCACCGTTTAGCGGCAAATCCCTAGGTTGCGTTACTGGTCTACCCAAGAGCTCCCTGATTTCATTCATATCACGTAGATTTTTATCCCCGAAAACATCAAAATCATGTCTGTTTTTAGTCACAACTTCAAAGAGTTGGCCTAAACGCCTATCAACACGAGACTCAAGAGAATCATGTCGTGCAGTTAAAGCGTCAAAACGTTGATTTACCTCGCCTTTGAAGCCTGCGAACTCATTGTTGAGGCTAGCAAACATGCGACGGTTCTCCTCCATGAAATGGCGGATTGACAAATCTCCAGTCGGCCCAGCTGTGGACGGCGGATTCTCGGACCCGCCGATGTCTTCAGCACCGATTCCTTGGCCTCCTTCAATGTTGGCCACATGTTCCTCCACGATTCCGGGCGGAACATCCCCTTCCGGATTCCTTCGTCGCGGAGCCATTCGAACACACGCGTCCCACCAGGTGTGCCAATTTGTTTCGTTGGCGAAACTCGTGTGTTAACTGTGCACGGTTTTCAAGAAAAACACAAAAACACACGTCAATCACAACCGTCAAATATCCGCCGCCGGTGTCGGCGCCGTTGATTTGATCGATTAAAATAGAAACAAAGACGATCGTCAAATGGCCGCCGCCGGTGTCGGCGTCGTTGATTTGATCGATACACCTTTGACTTCTAATCAAACAACTGTTATTCGGTTCAACACCTCTCCAAACTACGTTCGAACGAGGGTGTTCGAATAAACAGAAAATCGAACCAGGAGTGTTCTAAGTTACGTTACCTCTACTCCTATGGAGGTTCCTCTGGAGAGCTCCGCGACTACGACTACAAGCTACGATCTACGACTCTGCAAAGGAGTTCTTTGACAGAGCGGTTCTACGAAACTAGAGAGAAAAAGGATAATTCTGCAATGGTGCAGTTGTGATTTGATTTTGCCGTCCTGAGCTTCTCTCTCTTCCCAATCTTTATACTTTGCACTTCTCCCCGTCGTAGTAACTGCCTTGGCGCCTTTGTCTCCCACGTCTTCATTCCTGTCAACCGTGCAGGTAACTTCCTCCTTGTTGCGTGATAATCACGTGCCCTCGAAACCGCTCTTGCTTTGCAGAAACTTGGCGCAACGACTTACAACCTTGTCCATGTAACGATGACGTTTCACCAATACCACGACATCGCCTTTCACCAACCGCTGCCGTTTTATAATCCAACTCAACTGCCCCGACCCGGTTTAACCAACGATATTGTTAGTCCATCAAACAACGTCGTTCTCTAGTCTTGCGCCGTCGTTGGGCTTGGCGGGCCACCTTTGGCCGAGCTCTTAACCACTGCGATATCGTTTTAAATCAAACGATATCGTTTATGATACCGCGATGTCGTTGATACCTCCTGCGACATCGTTTAATCTTTCCGCGACATCGTTTTTCACTAATCGATGCCGACCTTGAACTGCTCCGCCCCGGTCCCATCAAACAATGTCGTTTTCATTCCACGACATTGTTCTCTACCAACGGTACCGTTTTTCTTGTCTTGCGGTGTCGTTGAGCTTGCCGGGCCACTCGCCAAAATCCAAACCATCGTGGTATGGTTTTTAACAAAACGACATCGCTTAGTAATACTACGGCGTTGTTGATGCCTTAAACGGTGTCGTTTTACTTCTCCGCGGCATCGTATTAAACGATACCGTCTAAAAGAATAATAAAATACTAATTAATTAAACTTGCCCTCATTGTTAACTCGCCGTCAAACTCTCACCCCGGCGTCGTTCTCAGTTAAACAACGCTATTTCCTTGTCCCGCGGTGTCGTTTCTTCCTCTTGCGGCATCGTTTTCAACTAAACGCCACCGGGCTAAAAAGTCATTAAAACATTAATTAATTAATCCGGCCATCACTAGCTATGGCCAACGACATCGCTAGCGCCACCACAGCTCCGATTGTTTTTCCTTTTTGCGACATTGTTTGTTATTTTAAACACTGTCGTTTGCCTATCCACGGCACCGTTGGGATTACTCGCGGTACCGTTTTTAACTCTCCACCAACAAGGAACAAAAATATTAATTAATTAAAAACAACACTCCTTCTCCAACAAAAAACCACACGCGCGGCCCTTGTTTTTTATTTTCGACAAGCGGTGCCGTTTCCAGTGCCGCGGTACCGTTTTAACTCTCCGCGGTACCGTTTTTACTCCTCCAACAAGGAATAAAAATAATAATTAAATAATCACAACTCCTCCTCACCCTTCATTAAAAGAGCGGCCTCTTTATTTTCGGCCTGCGGTGTCGTTTCCGGTGTTGCGGTACCGGTTCGGCCTCCTTGCGGTACCGGTGAGTTCCCTTGCGGTACCGTTTTAATTCGCCAGCCCAATGCGAGTGCAGACTCGCGGCGGTTCCATGAATTGATATTTTTTGGTTATGTTAGCGGTGTCGTTTAATTAAAAACGGTACCGCGAGCAAGCCCAACGGTACCGCTATACTAGCAAACGACAGTGTTCAATAATAAACAGTGTCGCGGAAGAAAAAAACAAACGGAGCTGTTTGGGAAAGGAAACGACATCGCAGGATCATGAAAACAACTCACGTAAAGTTCACGCGAAGCAGTTTGAGGAGCGAAGCGGTTGAGACACGTGGGATTTCACAACGGAGCAGTTGAGGAAGCGGTTCCACCGAGCGTGAAGACTACGAAGCAGTTTTTCGAATAAAAGCAGTGGAGCAAGGAGAGAGAAAGGACAACCAAAAATCAACACAGATCAACTCTGTCAAACTTTACCTTTTCTCTGTAACTCCTTCGCGGAGCTCTCCTTCCAGGAAGGATCTCCATAGTTGGTAGAAGTAGTCGTAGTCGCGGAGCTCTCCACAGGAATCTCCATAGGAGTAGCGGTAACGTAGATTCCCCAAAAACTCAAACACCCTCGTTCGAACGTAGTTTGGAGAGGTGCGAACCGTAGTAACGGTCGCGTTGGTTAGAAGTCAGAGGTGCATCGATCGAATCAACACCGCCCGGCGGTGGATATTTGACGGTCACGTTGATTTCACCATTAGAGGTGCATCGATCAAATCAACGGCGCCGACATTCGGCGGCGGATATTTGACGGTCGTCTCGATTTCAGCAATTAGCGGTGCATTCGATCAAACGGCACCGCGAGAGTTTCCACCGCGAAACATCAAATCAACATCGCCGGGAACGAATTCGGCACCGGCGGTGGCATTTGGTTTTCTCGACGAAACATTTTGGCACACCTGGTGGGACACGTGTGTTTGACACGGCTCCGCGTCGAGAAAATCAAGATCGTGATCTCCCACACGTACCTGTGGAGGAGGAGGCGCCCGACATCGAAGTTGGTCAGGCGAACGGGGCAGATAGGCGTACTCAAGGGATGGAAGAGCGGCTACATGATGAAATCCTGTATCTACGTCAATCCATGGAGGAGTTTCGCCAATCCATGAAGGAGTTTCACCAAGAGGTAAATCTCCAATTTGATAATCTTGAAAAGAAAATGGATAAGTTTGAAAACAACATAGATCGATGGTTTGATAAGTTGGATGACTGTGTTTCTGATTTTAGTATGTCAATACATAGAGCCACATGTGATTTTGATGTGTTTAAATCTGAACCCATGTCTGTTGCGTGCGATGATTTGATGGTTGATCGGCTAGCCAAGGTCAACCAAACGCCATCGACGAGTATGGCTACAACATTGTTGCCAGAAACAAGGAATCCCAATGTGTCTTTTCCAGTGAACAACAATGTTCTAAAGGACACACCAATTGGAAGTGGCTTGCAGAAGCCACTACAAAGAAGTCAGTATCGACTTACTTCTTGTAAGATTGAAAACAAGAACCAGGGTCGAGAACCTTGTTATAATCACGTCGAGCATGGCAAGCTCACGTATGATGGGTTGTTCAAGCAACATCGCAATGGTGTTCAATCTAAACCGCTAGGGGGGCATGAGATCCCACTGCAAGGCGGGTTGAAGGAGAAACAATATCACAAGTGGCGAAGCAGTTTGCCACATCCACACTGTTCTAGGAAAAAGCATATGTGGGTTGCCACAAACACTATTCAATATGGAGGTGGTGATCACGTGAAAACCCCCAAGGCCACGAAAGTTGGTGTAACTTACCTAGATCCTTCGTGTAAGTTGTCCCCAAAGCCGCCACCGAGTGAAGTGGGGGGCAAGTTCAAGCAAGCCCGACATGGAGTTGCCACACCAGTGTCGAGGAGGAACAAGTCTGCTATGAATGGTGGATTGGGGGGCAAGTATAGTACTCTACAAACTCCAAAATCACACGGGAGCTCAAAAGAAACGATGTGGATGTGTGGTAAGTGTCGTGGTAAACAAAAGACTCGCACACTTGTCGATGAAGCTCGTAAGCATCGGTGCTTATACTCACAGCGACATGGTGAGAGTGCGAAGCCGACAAAACCAGACCTGTCTGGGCAAGCGATGCCACATGGTCGATTTGACAGGACAAAGACGTTAGAAAACTTCAATGTCCCGCCAAGAGTAAAAAACACTGGTGATTTGCTCTGCCACGACCCTGTGGCTATGATGAAGCCAAATCGAGCTCGTGGAATTTCAAACCAAGGTGTTCGAACTCGACGAACTGGAGAGCTACAAACCACCATTGATTCCAAAACATCAAAACCAACGCGTGTGAAGCCAGTTGTGATGAATCATGGACTTTACGGATGGCTTGGTTGGTTTGATCCATGGGGTTGGCAGTGGGTGTGGACTTTCGGCATAATGATTTATGCCAAAGTCTAGCCGTTATTTATTTATTTAGATATTATTAAGTAAATAGAGTGTGGCTAATTTAGGCCACGAGAAAATTACTATATATATGAAAAGTAGCATGGCGAAGCTTGCCGCATCGTTGCGAACAATATTAAATTTTTAGATTGGGTCGCTTTGGCGGAAAATTAAAAAAAAAAAAAAAAAAATTGCAGGCCTGGTGCTAGCAGCGCTGGTAGCGGGAAAAATATTAAAGTAATGGCCATATGTGAGCATGGTGGTATCTTGAACTGCCGTTTGTGGAGCTGGTAGAGGGCCGTGAGTCGCCGGGAAATAAGCATGCAGCCAAAGTTGTAGTAGCCATAGAGGACCAGCACTGAGGAGGCCACATGCGTCTGGAGCCTCCTTGACACGGTTCACAATGGTATACAGACCGCGATAGAGGTGGCAGAGCACAATTTCGTCAAGATTGACGCACTCGCCGGTGAAGATTGCAGAGGTGGTATGCACATCCGTGATGGGTCGTTGGGTGCAAAGTATGAATCGACCAAACCAGTAATGAAGGAAAGCAACCCGTTCGCTGTCAGATACGGGTTCACCTGGAATGACTGGCGCGTTGTTGTTGTAGAGCGACTCGTAGGTTTGGTCAAAAGCTATCGAGGTAGCTGGGTCCAAGGCTCTCCTTGATTGCACACGCGGCTTTGATATGCCCGTCAGGGCAGCTATGTCGAGCAAGGTGATCGTCATCGACCCTAATGGGAGCACAAAACAATTAGATTCCGTGGACCAGAAGCAGATGGCGGCTTTAAACAGCTCGGGATCAGGGTTTGGTGGCTCCAAACACAGAGAAAGAAATCGGTCGAGGCCTAATGCCCGCCATTGGGAGACAGTTGCTGCATCATTGGCCAACCGACCATGCCAACGTTTGAAGTCCAGATCCGAGGTGGCCAATGCAGGGAATACTCGGGTCTTCCGTTTAAAGAGTGGACTGATAGCGGGAAGACGAAACAGAAGCTGGGAATCGTGAATAGGAAAAACGTCCAGTAGCTCCATGATGGCAGTGGTTCGGTCATGAATGAGTGGACCAAGCCAGCCCTCCTCATCGTCACCTTTCGATATTATCTCAAGAGAGAAGTCAGCATTGGCCAGGTTTCCTACGAAATCCCGTCGTTCCCCCGGAGATAATGGGAGAAGAGCCGCGGCGATGCTGCATTCGCAAAGAGGTAGGTTGGGTTAGGGATGCAGCGGCGGCTATTCACCATAACAAGAATAACATTAATTGGGAGAGAACAAGGCTCCAATATTAAAGTAGAGCTAGGAAAGCAGAGCTTACTCGGCGATCGATGAGAATCCTTGCAATGACATGGCGGTGACTTCAGCTTCGCAGAAATCTGAGGTACGGTTTCTTTGCTCGTGAAGTTTTGGGTTGTTGTTCGTACTCGGATAAGTTTAGGGTTGGCTTGGGCGACCTATTTATTGGGATCGCCGCGGCGAGGTAGAAGGAGGTAGTATCCTTTTTGGTTTGGGTTTACGTCGTTGACGAGTAGAAGAAAAAGAAATATATCCGCGTGGGCATTGCTGGAAGAGAACTGCCGCAGGGTTGCAATGAGAACGGGATAAATCGGTTATCGGTTGGGTTTTGGTGAGGCTTGCTGCAATGTTGTCGAGTTGCTACAGCATTGCGGAGTTTGTTGTGCGGCCAACAAATAATTAGTTTCGTTTTGGCCTTATCGATGTGGCAGGCACAAAGTCATTGCCACGTATGCAATAAAGTGCTTAGCGCAAAAGGAAAAATCATTTTATAAAAATATGTATTTGCTCTCGCCAAAGCGGCCATGAGGTAAAATAATAATAAAAAGATAAATTGCCAGCAATGTAGCATTGGCCGGCCGCAAGTATACTGCAAAGCTAATAATGATTTAGAAGCCAAATTGTATTTGGAGTCTTTTGATCAATTTTTGGCCGCAAGTGTGCATGGCCAGCAAAGGGGATTAAGTTATGATTGTGGGCATGGTAGACTCGTGGTTATGCCACACACCTGAGTGGTTTTAGCAACGTTGTAAAGAAGTTTAAGCCGCATTGGGAACTGGCCGCAGTGTTGCAAGCAATGGCTTGCGGAATAAAATAAAAATTATTACAGAGCTGCTACAAACAGTGTCGCAGGAGTACATTGTATATATAATAAAGGAAGTTCCGGGGGCAGACATGGACGGTTTGGGCAATGGCGAATGAAGGACTAGATTTAGTGGTACTTGCATTATGGCGGCGTTGTACTTGCATTTCTACATTCGAGCAAGACTGGCCGAATGAATAAAAGCCAGAAAACGTTGTACGCTCCCGCAAGGTTGCAAGTATTCACGTAAGGGGGCCATGCAGGGATGTAACCTCGCGGTATTGATAGGCAAAGGAAAAAGTGATGGATTGTCGCGGGATTGTTCTTGCTCAATGTCACCATGGCCGAGCGAGTTGCTCAATGCTGCGGCGCCACGTTACGACGAAGTGTGGATGACGCAATGCTACGGCCACGTTTGATTATATGGACGGGAGAGCAAGAATGCTGGTGATTTGCTCTTCGATGTTGCGGAGCAAAAGGAAAATAATGTGCTGAAGCACCACTGTTGGAACGCCAAAGCAGCGATGCGTCGTTGCGTTAGGGATTAAGTTCGACCATAACGACAGTGGATTGCTGAAATATCAATACTGGTGGAGAAAATTTAATTTCTTGATGGCGAACTAAAATAGAGAAAATCCCGATTATTCAAGAAATGTAAGTAGTCCGACAGCAAAAGAAACAGTCATGGCCGCACGAGCGTGCCGAAACAAAATAAATTCAGTTCGGAATAAGTAAATTTTGAAAGTAAATGTAACGGGCATCTAGTCGGTGAGATGCTTGGCTATATAAGCCAGTTCCGCCCGCAATGTGTCAAGACCGGTCCGGGCTGCCTGCCGAAGTTGAACGGCCTGCGCCTTCCTAATCTCAAACTTGTCATCAACCAGGGCTGCTTCCCGCGCCGCGAGTGTTTGAGTTTCAGTC